CCCAAACCAGACCCTGTACCTGGCGCAACTCCTGCTCCAGTTCCAAAGCACGAACCACAATGGGGCCGCGAACCGCATACTCCAACCTGCGCACACACTGGTTCATGGTGTCCAGTGTCAGCACCTTCTTTAGCCCATTCATGGCAGCCTGACCCTGGTCACTGGTCCTCAAGGCCATGACTCTGCTTAGGCCAAGCAGAAGAGAGGTAGCCTCGGGCCTCAGTAGTAGGAACCAAGCTCGGAAGGGGAGCTCCCTAGAGGAAGGGAAGGACACCCTTCTTTGCTGCAGCCTGCTGGCCCACTGAGAGAAAGGGCTGAGAAGACGCTTAGTGGGCCAGCCCCACCCCACACGGGCACAGTCCTAGAGCCAGAGGGAGAGGGCGAGGAAGCAGGCGGGGCTTGGGTGGAGGCCCCCAGTGTCTGCCCCAGCAGTCCCACGGGGTCCCAGGCAGGGGAGCTGGAGACCCACAGTGGGAGGAGGGGCAAGCTGATGCCCAGGAACCTCCCAGGGGCTTGAGGAAGGGAGGAGGAGGTGACCAGGATGACAGTTGAGTGGAAGAAATGGGTACAGAGCATGGTGGCATCACACATCACAGAGGGGACGAGGGGACCTAAGGCCCATGGAGATGTACCCCCACAGAGAGTGGACAAGGAGTAGCCCTCATGGGCCCCCATCTTCGCTTGGGCCAGAAGGCTTGTCTCCTAGGTAACTCAGCCAGGCCTCAAGAATCTTGGGGGACAAAGGAGCGGGGGCGGGGGGTAGGGAGTGAGGCGCTCAGACAAAGGGTTCCATCCACCCCTCCCAGCTGGTAGCTGAGGCCTAGAGGCTCCAAGTGTCCTTTATTGGACTTCAGTTCCTGATCATTGGTTTCAAGGTCCTGCTGTTGAACTGGGGAGGGACTGTGGACCAGGAAGGGCAGGCTGGGTCCTCTGGCCTTCTCAGTTGCCCTATCACTGTGAACTGGCCTGGGGCTGCCCTTAGGGCCACACCCGGGCCCAGAGGAGGTGACCTGAGTGTCCCTTCCCGCCTGCTCCTGACTGGTGGGGAGAATGGGAAGTGAGCTGGGATAGGCCAGCAAGGCCCCACCTCTGCAGGCTGGCCAGGCTGACAGGTCATGTTGAGTGGCCTCCCAGGCTGCCACCCCCATTCTGAATCTGGGCTGAAGGTCAGGAGCCAGCTGAGCTGGGCTTGTGTGGCTAGTCCCCAGGTCCTGTGGTGGGGAAGGAAATGCAGGACAGCTGTCCTGAAACTTCTCACCTTGAACTCAGCTCCACCAACACCACAGCTGCCTCCTAGCATGCAGGCCTCCCCTCTGCCCAATCAGAGCACAGGATAATAAGGTCCTAGCCTCAGACAAGGCCAGCCCCCACCCGCCCCTTGGCAGCAGGGCCCAAGCACAGCGCCACCGCCCCACACTAAATTTACCCAGGGCCTGCCCCCTCCCCCAGCCTTCGAGGATACCCTTCTAACCACAGGTGCCCTGGGAAGGGCAAGTCAGGGCTATTCCAGTGGACTCTGGGCACAGAGCTGAGTACTGGTGTCTGTGGGTGATGGGCAAGCAGTGCTCTCCCCTCCCCGAAGCTCCCCAGGGCCCCCTTACCCTGACACAACATACCAGCCAGCTCAGATCTGGGTCTCCTCTGTCAACCCAGGAGGAAGCTGGCAGCATGCCAGGGACAGTGGACCCTCCCCAACAGATTTCTGACGCCAACTTTGTACCCACCTCATCCCTCTGGCTCTGGCCCAGCAGTCCCCACCTCCCTTTTTCCAGACCAAGGTCCCTGCTCCAACAAAGACACCCAGGCCCTGAGGACCTTCCCTCCACTCCACAGCACTCTGGTTCTCTTGAGGAAGCAAAAGATAATTCAAGGGGTACCAGACTACTCCCTGTGGTTGTGCCTCTCCTGTATCTGAGCCCCAGCGAGCATCTACAGGCCCTAACAGCGTGGGCGGGGCGGGTGGGTCAGGCAGGCACCAGGGTCCAAAGCACCACTGCTCCTCAAGTGGGGACACTAGTTGGGCAGACAGATACAACACAGCAGGAGACAGGAGGTCTTTTTTATCAACAGTCATAGACAGAAGCAGGGTCTCTGCAACCCCACCCAGATAAGACTTCTGCCCCATGGTCATCACTCAGAGGCGGCACAGGCCCAGGTTGGCTGCCCTCCGAGCACCAGAGCACATACTGGGAGGCACCCAGGGCCCTGCAGCTCACATAAGCAGGCAGCATGGCCGTTTCTCCCCAGGAGCCTCCTCGGAGGGAGCAGTAAGCTTGAGCAGGGGTGGGTCCCCACTGGCCCTGAATCCACTCTCAGTTTGGAGGGTCTCCGTGTTAGCAGGAAGGTCGGAATCCTGGGCATGGGGCCCCTCAGGAGGCGGTCGCTGCAGCTTGGCAGCTGCTCTCTGGCGCTTAAGCTCTGCCAGGGTGTGGTGGGCCTTGTCACGCCCAAGGGCCTCAGCTGCAGAGCTGTCCAGAGGACTTAGCTGGTAGGAGACACTGCGGTCGAACCGCTTGGAGTATAGATGCCGCCCTGGGGGGCTCCCCACTTGGCCATTGTGTGGGTGAGCAGCCTCTGGGTCTTCCTGTGGACAGAGCCGGGCCAGGAGGTTAGGGGCACCCTTCCCTCTCCCCAGCCTTGGGCTCTTGGCACACAAAGCCTACCAGTAGTGGACAGACAGGCAGGAGGGGTCATAAGAGGCACATGTTCCCAAAGCAGGAGCTGTGTGGTCTCAGGGAGATAGTGAGGCATGTGAGCACAGGACATGTCACGGTCACTCTGAGCTCGCTGCAGGCGGCGGCCCACATGCCAGCCAGCACTTGTCCCTGGGAGCAAGTAGGGCTCACCCCAGGAGGCAGGGGCTGGAGCTCTGCATTGGTCTGGCGGTCCTCGTCCTCCTCAGGTGGTTCAGGGCTGGTAGGGGGTGGCTGCTGCCATACGATGGCCTCCTG